GTGAAAAAGTTAGATGACTTTCAGCCTTCTAACTCTGACTTGGAAACTCAGCTGATGAATTAGAAGTAAGAGAAAGTGGTATATTTTCCACGCCATTCCAGCTGACTGTTACGGGACTGAGACGGTGGTAAGGGTGGCATGTTTCCTGTGTCCTAATACTATCTAGTTGGGTTAGTCATATGTGGGAGCAGCTTGAGATGACACCATTGTCACCTGGGCAGCTGGAAGTTCAACAGAAATCCAGCCAAGATCCCTCGAATTTGCAGTCTTAAAATTAGAAGCCTCAATAGGAAAAATCAGATGGCTCAATAGGATACATAGATTCTTGATTAGGCAGAGAAAATTAAATCTGATGGGATAAATTCTCAAGTCAGGTAAAGAAAATGCAGGTAGGCAGCTGATAAAGAACACTCAAATATCCTTAGGAAATAATATTTGTGATTTAATTATGGGGAACATCTTGCTTTAGTAAGGCTTTTTGGTCGGCTAGTGTAGTCAACAGAGAAGGAGACGATTCATCATAAGTTTTCCCCCTGGGCATTGAGCTGAAGATGAGAGCTGAAAGCATTTACTAATTAAGCGCTATGATTAAGAGGGAAGGTCAGTCAGGTGAGTTAGGGTGTAGGTGAAGAGGGGACTGGTGGAGCCAGGGATGGACAGAGAGCAAGAGAAAAGCCATCGTGAGCAGCCTGATCCTACACTGCATAGTGTTCCGTTGTGTGAGGTACCACAATTTATTTACACACTCCTTTATGGATGGGCATCTTCCCAACATCTTAATCATAAATACTACATGTAAACTTTTGCTTGCACTTGTAAACAAGCTTGCACTTCCAAGCAGGGCTCGTGTGAAGAGAAACAAGCATGTCATGTGGAATATTTATGGAACAGATGCTTGAAGGAGGTAGTTCTCTTCCTGTAACAATTGCTTGTAGAAAAGTCTGTGTGTTAATAGATTTAGCACCGCTAGTGGGAAGCCTCAGGATGAACACCTGCAAAGCACTGCTTTCTCCATAGGTGGAATGTGTGCTCTGGGCCTCAGCAAAGCAGGGATGTACCAAATTGTCTTTTGGGAAAGAACGTGCTATTGCCAAGAAGTAAAAAAGCACGTTGTTGGTATCATAGGGAAAATCAGAACTTTGCTGACTTCTTTTTACTATGATTTTACAGAATAGGTAGCATGTATTTTGAGTAACTGTCAGTGGGAGTAAGGATCCTGAGCTATGCAGTGATCAGCACCTACAAAATCTCAGCTGGGCCTCAGAGAAACCCTGTGAGTTAATGATAAGTAAGAAAATGGATGCTTAGAGAGAATAAATAACCTGACAAATGCTACTTAGCTTGTGAGGAGAAAGCTGGTCTGATTCTCAACCGGGAGACTGCATGACCTCTGGGAAAAGTGCATCCAGTGTCACTGAGCAGGTAAAATAAAATAATGAAGGTCAAGTTGGTGGCGAGAGGGTGACTCTGCTGTGGGTCATGCCCTCACTCACACGCCAGCTTCAGTTCCTGTGTCCTGGGCTGCCTCACCCTTGCAACCTCGCGGGCACTGGGGCTCTCTGTGGAGAGGAGAGGGCAGCAAGGGAACTGCCACGGACCCTGCATGTCTGGCCCTGGAGTCTCCTGGTAAAGTGCTTTCTGTTCAGCGAGGAATTGGCCCGCAGGTGGTGCGTGTTTCCTCCCTCGCAGCCTGGCCCTTGTACCAGGTACCAGACTCAAAGGGGATTAACATCTCTTTTTGGCCTCGAGCAGAGGTAGGCTGCTCGAGCTGGGTCCTTTAGGGCTGGAGTTCTTCCACAAGTGTGAGCCGACCAAGACTGGAGTTTGATAGAGGCGATGATCTGGCGAGGCTGCCGCCAAAACCAGAAACCACTTTAGGGCCGGAAACTATGAACATTTTCCTACCTGTTTTCCTACTTATAACCCTCAGGCAAAAGCCCCATAGGAAAAAGGATGTGCCCGGAGGAAGGGAGGTTAAAGGAATAGCCTCATTTTTGGTGATGGAGACATCTGCTCTCCGGAAATGGGGACAGTGGGAATTCAAGGGAGAGACACAGTGGCGCAGTGAACCTGGCTCTCCTCTTTCATCCCTGGATGATGCTTAAAAGTCTGCCTGTAAGGATAACGCATCAGGAAAGATACCATAAAAATATGCAAACAATGGAAAAAAGACTTTTTCAGTCCACAAAATGAAATGCTCTGTCTGGGTCGTTTTCCTTTATCAAATTCAATAACTCTATTTAATCCCGAATCCCAAACATCATTGCAATACAAGAACCACATCCAAATGGGGCCTCGGGGGCACGAAGTAGAATCCTCTAGCCCTTGGTTAGGACGGTTCGCATCTGAGGTCTCCCCCTGCCCGTAAACGTGCTCAGTCTCCACCTGGCCTTTTAACAACCCTTCTCCTGATCCTTGGCCCTGCTAGCCCCCCATGCCAGCTCTCCTCTGCTAATCCCAAACACTGTAAAAGGCGAGTTCATACCCGCTGCCTGGAATTTCACATCCTCTGCTAGACAGCCTCTTGTGGTCTCTCCTCTCTCTCACGCCATTTTAGTGAGATGATTCTCAGATCTCATCCTTCCTCAATCTTCCCACTCTGGGACCCCAATAAAGCACTGGACCCTTTGAATGCTGCTTTTTTTTTTCCCTTGAAACCCTTCCTTGCCTCGACAGCACTCTGGTTTTCCCTCTGTCTGATTTCTGGACTTCGTCCTCGCTCCTCCCTAGGTCTCCCTTCTGCACCTTCCCTCTCCCAGCCCATTTCTCCCCCTCCTTCCCCTTTCCCTTGACAAGCTCGTACCCTAATACCTCCCTGTTAGGAACACCCAAAACTTTTATCTTCAGATTAACTGGTAACCTGGGTTCAAGATTATATTTACAAAATTCTCATATTCTTCTTGGATTTGACTCAAACTTCACACCCCACCCTGAAAATGGAGTTAATGATCTTCCTGACAAAACAGTGACCTCTCTAGATCCAATGGGGACATTACTGTGATCCCAATCATTTACGTATGAAGCTATAAACTATGAACAGTTCCTTATCGTTCCTACCATACACCTAATCATTTGCTGTATTTTGACAATTCCACCTCCTATGATCTTTCATTTAATTCCTTAAACCCTAGACTTCTTAAATTACAATTTCTCAGACCCCAGCCAGCTCTTCCAGCCTTGTCTCTCACTGCCCCCTCTGGGAGCTTCCCAGGCCTCTGTACAAGGGGGCAAGGAGAGACCGCAGTAAGAGCCAGGCCCCTCCACACTGGTAGGTGGCTGGGGCTTAGTAAGCACGGAAACCTGCTTAGAAGGCTTGTCTGGGGCGGCCGCCATATGACTGGATCTCTGCATCCACCTGCCAAAATCTTAAAAGTTTATATAGAGTTCCGTCTCATACACCGGCCAGATGGTCTCAACAAACTTTCTCTCTCGACTGTGTCCTGGAAAACAGCTCCCACTGTGGGAACTGTGGGCAGAATGTACATTCCAGAGACGGGGTGGGGTGAGGACCTCTGATCGCCCGAGTCCAGCTCTCAGGTCAGCCGTTGGTCACGTCCTCTCTACGACTTCCTCCAACATTTACGCTTACTGCACTTTACACAGGACGGGCCACTATCCCTGCAGATTTGTCTCCCGCTTTCCCATCCCTGTGCCTTGCTACCTACTACTTCCTACGTGGAGCTTGCTCTCATCCAGGACTGGAGTCATAATTTGTGGGGCTCACTGCAAAGTAAAAACGTCCTTTTTCAAAGACAGCAAAAAAAGTGCCTGTGAAGGTACCAACACGCAAGCTCTCCACTGATTTTCTGTGAATCACCTCCGTTCACAGGCATGCTCTACTGTCCTCTCCAATTTCACTTACAAAATGTAAGCTCAAGGATGAAATTAAGACTATCAAGACGGAGACAGCAGAACACGAAACTACGTGCAGGGCCACTGCGACTCTGGGGGTTGTGTGCCCGCAGATCAGCTCTGTTCTCATCCACATGGGCCTTTCTCAATCCTACCCACCTCCAAAGTCAAACGGGCTGCCTCTGTGGGCAGATCCTGCAGTGCCCCTGTCCGGGTCCTCTGCTCCACCCCGCTCTAAGCACGGCCAGCGTGCTTCCCTCCAGGCACTTGGCAGAAGTCTCTGAGGACACTTTCTACTTCCTATTAGTCTGTGAACCTCTTATTAGTTTATAACTTTCTTCATTTATCCTAGAATTCACCCCATGAGTTACACATAATAATTGCTTAATAAATGTCTGCTGAAAATGAATAAAAAGAACAAAGAGAAGAGCACTGCTATTTTGAGGCCACACGCAGCGTTTCCCCGCGTGGCAGTCCTTTCTCCATCAGAGCTGGAATCACAGCTAATGCAGAAGTCTCAGCTCCCAGCTGGCTGGCCTGCGCCGTCTCCTGGTTTTCCTTCTCAGTGCCTAAATTAGTCTCTATGTTGATTTATCTAAGGAAATTTCTTTTAGAAATCATAATTAAATTTTGGTAAAGGATATATTTGATAGTTTCTAAAAATGGATGAATTCACTAATTTTCTCAGATATTTAGATACAAGCCTATGCTTTCAACCACTTTTGGTTAAAGAAACTATTGATGTAGAAGAAAAAAATCCACAAGTGCTTTTGACACAACTTAGGTTCAAAAATATTTAACTTATTGCATGAGAGTGCCTTGAACAATGACTTTTGGAAAATTCTGTGCATTTAAGCAAGTTATCAAAGATCTTCAGGGAATTGCTTTGATAACAAAGTTGAATCACTTGATGAGAGCCTTGAACTTCCCACACTGGCTGGATACACATATCACCCCAAAGGCAGTGATTCAGTTTATGCCCTCCCTCCCTCAAAACACAGATACCCTTCTTTTTGAGTATTCCGAGTTGAAAACAGAAAGCTCACTTGTGCTTGTGGAAAAAGCTTCTTTAAAAAAACAAACAAGATAAAGTGGAATAAACTTAAACAGCAAAACATTAATTAAAAAAATGCACCACAGACACTGCATCACTAAGAAAGCCAGTAACTTTACTGAATTGTCTGCAAAATACAAATTATACCTTATTTCCAGCAGGAGAAACTTTTGAAAATTCCCCACTTTTATTCACTACAGACAGCTGAATTAAGTCCCTTGAGATACACAGATGTGGTTTAACTTAGTTATAACATCTTGTCATCTAGTGGCGACAAAGTCCAGCTTATGCCGCTGTGAGCCTCTATTTGAGTATTTGTTGCAAATGCTTGTATGCCCTCATTTACAAGCTATTTTAATTACTGTCATTTAATGGAAACAAGTCCCCAGAAAAAGAAAAAGAAGAAAAATGATACAGCAAACCATCTGAAGCAATCCAAGTCCTATGCCTACAGTGACCCAGGTCTCCGTCGCTCCGAGAGAACACTGGTACTGCATTCAAACCACAACAGAATCCGTCACTTAGCTGACCTCTCTGAATTCAACTGAGGTATGGATCAATCTGAGGTATGAACAGGGAAGGCAAAATGCAATACCCGATTATGAAAAGAACCAAAATGGACAAATTTGATGTAGAAGATAATGTGGCTTGGATTGCTCCACATCTTTGGTTAAAACATACGAAGAAAAGCCTTTAATTACATCTGTAGTCTGAAGCGTTCTCACAGACACCAGTATTCCATCAATCTTCAAAAGATGTGTAGTGGCAGGAAATTAACGCCATGTTAAGTGACGACATCACAGCAGATGGCACAAACGGGAACAGACGAAGGGTGCCGTGCTCAGGCAACAGCCTCTATGGAGGGTTTGAGTGGCTGCTGCTTCTTTAAAAAAAAAATTTTTTTAGGAAGAAATACAAAGCATTTACTCTCTGGAAAAACAAGCGTAAGGATAAAGGGGGCAAAAAATGCTCTCCCTAAAAGATGGGTATGTAAGAAAAATAAATACAAAAAATGTGAGAGGGCAGACATTCTTTTAAAAAGTGTATTGGAATTTTAAAAAATTTTCACTTTAGTTAACCTTAAAATGATCTGAGGATGATAGGTATTTTTGTATTCATTGTTACAAAATGCTAAGTTCCACCTTTGGGAAAAAAATAAGCCATTTTACTAAAAACACAATTTTAAAAAAGATTGAAATGAACAGCCTTCCACGCACCAATGCATACAACATACAGTTTGTGCAGCTCGCGTGTATTGCATCAGTGTTAACAGTATTTAAACTTCACATCACCGAAAAATCTTTTAAAATAGGATTAGATACAACAATACTCGTAGCTGTGTAAAAACGCCACTTACGGTTCTTTTACTTGCAGTGAAGAATGTTGCCTAAAATGTTACTCTAGGATGGGTTATGTAAAATAGTACCTCCTCAGGGCTCTGCCCTAAACTCCTGAATACAAAGGATTTGCTGTGATAAAAACCCAAAACCACACTAGCTTTGCAAATACAATAAATGGTAAATTACAGAGAAGGTATAAGGGGAAAGATTGATGTCAATCGTTTACAGAAAGTGACTCATCACAATCAAACTTGTGCTTCTTCTCATTAAATCACCTTTAAAAAAAATCTCAGATTATCCCTTTGTGTCTTGCCACCACTTTATCTGGATTCAACAGTGGAAACAAGAGATGACTGGCATCCATTTTCAAGTGATTCTGTTCTTTTCATGTTCTTATAAAACTATTGTCAGAACTGCTATAAATAGCCAAGGCTTCTGCTGGTACTTTAGGTTACTTTATCTTCAGCATTAGAAATTCCCTTTTTCTTTGTTGCTGAGGCAAATTGCAGGTAAAAAATTAATATGGCTATTTTTTTTTCATATTTTCACATAATGACCCTTTCCCACCCATTGGTTAGTTTCTCCTGATACTGATAAAGTGTTTTGAAATGACAAAGAACATTTGTGACATGTTTGCATATTTTACACACATCAAGTTATAAGGATGGGTTGTAAGAATGGGATCAAGTCTATGGTGAGGAAAATGGTTTTCTTAGTTTCCTCCCCCCCCATGTATGAATATGTGTATATGTGTGTTTTCTGGGATGATTTTCTGTTTTTCATCTGCATAAATGTTTTTCTTTCATGTTCCATGGATACCTCGAGTAGTGGGATACATGAAATGGCTGACAGATTTTTTTGTTTGATTTCGTGTATAAAATGTTAGCACAAGGCAGGCTGGCATCCTATACGGACACAACCAGAGGTGCACTGTGGTCTAACTGTGGATTTCAGATCGAGTTAAGAAAAATATAGCCTAGTTCGTAAGATCTCTTGGCTTTTGCCACCCAGCGGCAGCCTTTTACAAGGAGAAACACATAGTAACTAAGCAAGTGAAAGCAAAAAAAGGGATAAGAAATGTCCTACACAAGACATAGCAGTGTCGATCTTACTGTCTGTCTTTTCTGCTGTGCATGTCAGCGTGTGTGATGGGAGCTGGATCGACAGATCTTCACATGCCTAGAGAAGGAATATCAGTCCTAGACTGAAATCTCTTTAAACAATATATATCAACTCTTTTTTTTTTATGGCACTCACTTTTTAAAGGGTCTGAAAAGTAATCCCTTATAGACGAATATTAGACAAGAGTCATCATTATTTCCTGAAAAATTAAAAAAAAAGGGACATAGAGAGGTTCTTTAATGGGATTTTTTGAAATGGCTATTAAATCTCTTTATTGAAGAAAAAAAATAGATGACATACATGCTTTATGCAGAAGTGACATTTGGGGGTCCTGACACACCGGGATTGTTCAACAGTCCTATATTGCTGACAAGATTGTTGAGGGTCAGTTAAAATAATTAAGAACGGATGACGAAGCAACTATCCCTTTACCTGCTTCCTTCTTATCTAGCACCCAGACTTTCACATTTTTCTTCTGTGGGAATTTATAACTCATGCATCGAGCAAACTCCATATCACTTATTTCTAGGGCAGTATTTGCAGGACATGTGACCCAACACAGTTCTCTACTCTGGGCATATTTCTTCAAAGCATTATCGAGTTCTAGGCTGAAAACCAACCAGATAATTTAGGATACGGGCAAGTTGAAGGTATGCACTTACTGAATTCCAAGATGCATGGTGAAATGGTGAGATCAGAAAGGGGCCCTGCATTTGATAAAAATGCAAAACAAAAACAAAAATAGCATGAAAGAAACTAATTAGTATATACAATGGATGTCAGTTGACCCAGTAGATTGCCAATGGATTAAAAACAATTTAGGGTGTTGCAATGTGATATGTTCTAATCCCACAGGTTATCCTTTTGACAGCTGACCTTGAACTTATAAAATGTATGCAGAGTAAAAGAAAACAGAAAGAAAATAGTTACTCAAATGTGCAACTGCACAAATATACCCCCCTCCCGCTATTAAGATAACAAAACTTCTGCTATTACCATAATATTATATATATTAGAAAGCTATACACAAGCATGTTAATTTCACAGATTTTTTAAAAGATTCTTAATATTTTATATAATTAGAAATACACATTTCAAAAACAAAACTTCTACAAAGAGAAAACAGTTATCTTGGTTAGCAAAGCATGGAGTTCTTCATGGCTTAGGGTAGTGCTTTCTATACAAAAAGTCCTTTTTGGTTTTTTACAGGACTGTTTAAAATATTAGCGAAGCTATCAAGGGGGAAAAAACACATTTTGGCTTAAGTAAACTACAAAAAGCCACAAATGCTTTGCAAACTCTGTCTTACCTTTTATATGAAAATAAGCAAAATGTAATGTACATATTTTTATATTTTTATTTAATAAGAGATGCAGACCCAGATTTATTTATTTATTTAATTAAATACGTTAGCCCTCAAACTCCACATTTTTAAAAAATAGGTATGGTCCTCTTTTAATGGTCATCGATCCTTTTTCATGAGTGCCATACGCCAATGATGTGCCTGCAGGTTTGTGAGCGTTCTCGGGGTGGGTGTTAGGTGACCTGGCGTGTTCCTAACGTGTAACCGTGGCCACCCTTTGCCGGGTCTGTCCAAAACATCTATACACTTTTCTATATGTTGCATAACAGCTGCTCTCTCTTTCAGTAAAGATCTGCCGCTTTTGGCAAATGTTTCCTTTTGTCTATTTACATGTAAATAACGTTGAACCTGCAACATGACACTATCTATTGTAACATACATTTTGCAAAGGAGCACAACAGTGAAAAGAAGTTAGCCTTAAATCTATTTTGTACAAGTGTTCTGTTGTACAACTCAAGTGCTAAGCTTATCTCAGCATTTCTGTTTATCTTTATACTGTATCACTGAGGCAATTTAAAAGTACTTTTACAAAACAGAGTACCTGACTTTTTTTTTTCCACACACAGCACATATAATGCATATCGACCCCCCTTCCCCATTAAGGTATAGCACACACACACACTGCAAGAAAAAAAACTACTAAGTAATAATCTGATCATGTTGCCCATCCTTCAGAGAGTCGCATGCGCTTGACTGAGGGACTTTCCCTTTCGTCCGGCGAAGGTCTGGTGAGTCCAATGGGGGAGTGGAATTCGTTCCGATGATCCTCTCGGTCGCTCCCGTCGTAGGAACTGCTGCAGCTGCTCAAGCTGTCAACAGGAGATCTCCCCGCCTCGTGGCGCGTGTGTTGTGGGTATCTCGAAGGGGTGGTGGTACGGTCTCTAGGAGGAGAAACAGGTTCTGACTTGATGTTGAGGCTTTGAGTAGAAGGCAGGGAGAGATTTGAACTCTGAGATAAATGAGTGCTAGTGCAAGCTCTGTAGGAGGAAAGGAAACCCAGTTACAGATGGAGGAGGCCTGGAGCCCCCAGGAACTCACAATTACATCAAACATCAGCTTAAAGACTTGCATCGACACCAGAGCATGCCCAGAGGGAGCAGAGCGTGCTTGGCAGCACCTGGGGGCATCGCCTTCTTACAGCGACTTGGGATGCCTTTGTTCATCTGCCCGGTAGCGATCACAGCATTTAACTGGCCCAGGCCTCACGAGTCATACCTCCAAGTCTCTGACAGGCTCCCTTAATGTATAGGTTACCGGCTCAGGGAGGTTTTAACAAGACACGCGGGAAAAAGCATTTTCTGTGTCCATGGAATTTCTCCCTACACCAGTTCCAAAATACAATCTAAGACTTAGGATACAGGGCTTAGCTTCTGAATTAAGACTTCTTTGATTTACTAATGCCTGTGTTTGAAAATTACTATAAAGAGCTTATTATGGATACAAATATTTCCCTAAATTTAATAAGCACATGCATACTAAGTTGCACAGTCTTCAGAGAAAGTGAAGAGAGTCAAAATTTCAAATGAATAGAACTGAGAAAATGCTACATGTAACCATATCTGGTGAAAAGCTTGGGATAGGGGAAAGATGGGGGAGGAGGCTGAAAATTATCTGCAGAAACTTTAAGGAGGGGCTTAAAAACACTTAGACTTCCTACCCCACTAAAACTGATTGTCTGACTTTCTTCATTCTTTCTCAGTTGTTTTTTCCCCACAATGACCTCAATATTACTACTGCTAGTCTCTCCCTGCTGGGATACGAAGGAGACCACTCCTCTCATCTATCATTGTCATTAGTTGATGAATCTGGATTTGCCTAAAGGAAAGGTTGTTGTAGAAAAGGATCGAGTGTGATTTTATTGTGTTTATAACCCTTAATCCTCATTTATTCCAGGACAGCGTAACTTGCCCTTCTTTCAAAATGTGGCTGAACTTAGATACTTGGAATTCTGGAGGGAAAGGCATTAAGCCCTTAAGTGTAGACCAGCCTTCACGATGGCTTTGTTCAGGATCAACCACAATAACACTGCTGACATTGATGTGAAGATGCCTGCACTGTCCTTACATTCTGAGTGCACTGACAGCCACGGCTAGACTCAGTGTTATCTGTCCGCATTGCGAGACAGAACAGGACTCTCTTCTACTGAGAAGAGTCACAGTAAAGAATTATCCATACAGACACACCCATTTTCAACAAAGGAAAGCAAGCTCACCTACTCCTGTGTGTGACTGTGTTACTTTCTAATGGAGAGAATTAGAGGGCATTAAAAATGTCATTATGAGCAGTGAGAAAACGGGTATATATTTTGGGAAAAAGTGGAGCAACTTGGGGCTGGGTTTTTGGGAGACGCAGTTCAGGCTCGAGATGTACAGAGATATAAAATCAGTCAGAAATGAGTCTATCTTTGAGTGATGTTTTATACAAAAGCACCACCTACTGGCAAAGAATTACTTTCCTTCTCTTATTAATAAATGAGCTAATGTGGAGAATAACATGAAGGAGAATTATTTGTTTCCCTAACAAGTCTTTCTCTCTATGGCTTTTCTGATCTTACAGAATTCAAGCAGTCTTAGCATTTTTATCAAAATACTACATTGAGTGTATATAATTTTCAATCACCTGCTTATACTTTTTGTTATTTGTTGTTTTTATTTTATAGTCTATATTTGCATACTAGTTTTCTAAGATTTTTAATTAAATAATATTTAAATCAAGAAGATACTAAAATAGGGGGAACACCTGCATTTCAAAGAGATTCATAATGGTGGACTATTTTATCTTGGTTCAGAGTTACTTAATGATTCATTTTGATGTCTGAGGAAATCATCTTTTGATTTCTGGAAGAAAGAATTTCCCTGGCTCTGGATAAGAAAGACTATTTCACTAAAATTTAATTAAATGCTTCCACTATAAATCACATAACCGTTTAATAATGAACGTCAATTAGGAGTCTGAAAATAAAGTGGCATATCAATAAATACATTCATCTGCCTTCTGATATTTAGATGGTGTCCTCACAGACAGGGGTGATGTGGAAAATCAGAAAAAAATATTTGGTGAGTTGGACCAATATAAGCAGTCAATATGGATAAACTGAGCGAAAAATGAGAACCTAAATGCTGTTTCTTTTATACAGCTTTTGGAAGCCACATTATCTGCTTATCACCGTCTCCTAATGTCAGCTGGCTTGTATGGATTTCGCTGCATCTTTTCCCTATAAAAGGTGTAACAATAACACGTATTGTTTACACCTTCCTATAAACAAATAGGCTAGTCCCTAAGATAAGATGAACTTAGTTGGTGGCATTTCATTTGACACTGAAAGCATTTATGAAGCATTTTGAGTAGTTCTGGGGACACTAAATCCACAGCAATGAATGGTAAGTGATATCTTGGTTTCAGCTTCATTATACTGTGGTATAGGATTCAAAACAGAATGCGGTTTAATTGGCTAGTCTCCATTATCAAAGAAAGTATTTTATTGAAAAGAAGAAGGGATCATTAAAAATCACTTAGTCGTCTACGTGCTTAATTCAGATATAAGCATGTTGGTCTACTTGTTCCTGAGAACAGAATTTTTATAGACACAGATCATTGTGAGATGCTTCTTACTGTGGGTGATAAAGAGGTGGGTGGGGAGACAGAAGCCACATGTGCAAGTTCCCATATCAAGTCCTGCTGCAAACTGCCATCCCCTGCAGATGCCTTCCTTCCAATTGGGAAGACACCTACCTTCCCCTTATTGTTCAGAAATGAAACATTTCTTACTGCCTCTGCCTGGAAATTAGACTATCAAACTATATTCAAATCAATCTTTTAAATGTCATCTTTACTAAAAGTTCTCTCTCAGTAGGTTTTGCATCCACCAAAATGACGTACAGAAATGCTTCCAGAAAACAGGTTGCCCTTTTTTTTAGGTGGTAGGAGAAAAACACCAAAAAATTGAGGGTCATTTTTTCAAATACTGGTATTCAAATGACTTTTGCTAACCCTGGGTGGCAGCTCCTTCTGCCCGTCTTCCCTGCTCCCTACATCAGGTCAGTTTAGGCTGTTGATCTAACTTTGTTAGAGAAAATCAGATACTAGATAGTATAGCTTTGAAGATTTAAAGGTATTTCCACAAAAAAATACGAGAAGCTCTTTCTTGCTTTTTTTTTAGTTTTGAGAAAGAATTATGGTGACCCTCTTGGGCTGCTGGGAGTATTTACACTGGGGGGCTGACAGATACTTCATTCTGCTTTGATGCTGTATCTGTCCCAAAGAAGGTGACTTGACTCCACCACACAAGTAGGTGGTACTGCTTTGGCCTGGAAAATATCAATTTTTAAAAATTGATATCCATCATGAGGAAGAGGGGTAAGCTCATATATTTTACATAAATACTATAACTTGAGACTTTTATTTTAAGTTTAAGATTTAATTGTGTGAGCATAGGCTACTCCATTTGATGGAATCTCTTCCTGAAAACTACTGTGTGTGTGTGTGTGTGTGTGTAAGAGAGAGGAAGAGGAAGGATGGGAGGGAGAGAGGGAGGAGAGAAGAAGCAGTGAAGGCAGGCAAAAAGGCAGGCAGGCATTGGGGCTGGAAAGGGTATCTGTTTGAAGGATAAGGGAAGTGATTAAGTGCAATAGGAACCCATAGTCTGAATTCAGAGTCAAATCATGCACCACGAGAATTGGTGTTGAAAGAAACTGGAACTAAACAAAATGCTTCATCCTTGGCTGTTGTAATTCAGTTCCTCTCTAGTCCGGGCCAGTCACTTCTTTCTCATTTACTGCAGCCACTATTAAGGGCCGCAGAGAATTAGATTCTTCCCATGGAATAGAAGAGAATTTTAAAATGGTAATGTAGTTCAAATACAAGTGTTTTCTATGTAAAAATGCAAATTATCAGGTGTTATTGGGAACAAAAGAAAGCCACATTCAGAGAAACTAAGATGGCTTTTGACATTGTGAATTTCTAAGGAAATCTAATCCTAAAAAATGAGAAGTAAACAGCTACCTTTATTTTTGACAAGAAGCACAAACAGGGGATTCACTGCTGAATCACCCAAGTACAAGGCCACTTGAATGTATTTTAACAATGCCTGGTTGGTATGATGTACTTAGTGATAGTTACTTGAAAAAGTTATTGCCATAAATGTCTATTTGGACAGTTAAAATTTAGATGTTATTCTAAAAACAGAAGTTCTGCTGCTGATCAATGTATAATACATCTTCAAAGTTCATCTTTCAAGAAAACACAGCAACAGTGTCAAATGAATTTATTTCATTATTTACACGAGATGGTCGATTTTCAACAATAGGGATTAGTGAGTAAAAAGCATAGTAGCAAATAGGGACAGGGTGAGAACTCCATGACCAGAGCACTAATCTACGTGAAGTCACTTCCACGTGGAAGCGAGCGGGGCTGGTGAGGGTGAGAGAGCAGTGGTGGTATCCATCAGTGATTTTTATTCTAATCAGTGTTTTCTCCTCATTATCTCCTTAGAATATGAACCCAGAATTAGCTAACTATTCTAACTAAATGGCTCAGCGGAAAAGTAAAAGTGGGGGAAGGCATATAGAATGGTTCTAAAATATAAAGACGTGTTATCTTTAAATACTTCATATCGTCCTAGTATTTTCTTTTGAAGATTAAAGTTTTAAAATTATTAGTTAAACTGAAAGTCAGATCTTTGTTTCATGTTTTAAATTTTAAAAAATCTATTTGTTTTACAAGTTGTATTGATGAATTCAGGGCTTTTGAAGATTTGAATGTTTCCATTGATAAATGACAGGAGTTATTTCTATAATAAAGACATATCTCAAAACTACCACAAGGGGGCAGAAATACACATCTGATTTCAGAAAACAACAATTTTTATACCCAAATTTAGGTAATTAGTATATGTCTGTCCATATATATACATATTTATATTCATGTAGTATCTGTGAATATGCAACTATACTGTGAGTACATTATAAATACAGGAAGTCTGTGTATCCGTGGAATAGCTGACCCTATGAGTATCAGGTTAACAGTAGCAGGAACTATGCAGTTTATGCCAAGTGAAAAGGATTCTCAAATATCTCAAAATCTAAAGAGCTAATAACTATAAATGTTTTCTTATGTCCCACATGCGCTATGTGAAAACTTAACTAAATAGAAATTTATTATTGATAGAAGTGGAAACAAATATAGCCTAAACCAAAGGGAAATAACATACCTCCTTATCAGAGTTCCTCTCCTCTTAAAGAAGGAAAGTAATATTTAAGCTACTTGAAAGGTATTGGTTTGATAACTACTTTCAGATTTTCATAAAGTAGAATTCTACATCCTCTAATGGGACATTACAGCACACATTTAGAGACTGCCATTTGTCATTTAAAGATGCATTCTAGAAGTATGTTATAAAAGAAGTAATGGTGCTTACCCCAGTTGACTGAGGGCGGATGGCGGCATGTTATGTAGGTGTTGCTGTTGCCAGCCAGTTACTGACCCAAGATGAAGAGCGCTGGCCGTGTTAAACCCAGACAGAGATGACAGGTCTGCACTACTCAGAGAGTATTCTAGATCAAAGGATACAATAGAAGGGGAAATATTTAATTTGGTCATCATCAAATGGTGACTAGAATAAACAGTTTCAGTTTTTAAAATATTCTACTAGTGTTATTTAATGATGGTTAGTATACATTTTTTTTTATTTTGAGGGAAAGGGAGATGAAACATTAGGGACAATTTTAATTTAAAAGAGAAATATTATATACCAAAAAATAAGTATTCCATGAAAGCTTCAAAGTAGTACACCCTGCAATTCTAGTTTATTAAAACTACACTATGATATCACAAGTATGTTCCTAGTATGGATGATTTAGAAATGACTTTTAAACAATTCTGAGAAAAAGTAAGCTTTCTATTACATCAAAGAAATAACAGCTCATTTTCCTGGAAATTATACTTCTATTTTGAATTCAGGTTGGGTTAATAAAACTTTCAGTCACTTAAGCAAGAAAAATGTGCAAATTCATTTTGTCTTCGTTATGGATAGGCAATGGTATAGTGCTCTGGATACTACAGGTATCAAATAAAGCTTTCTAACAGACTAAAAGGTAATACCTTTTCATCTTGCTTTTTAATAAAAAGTATTTAATGTACTATTTAAACATAGCAAAGCTACTCACCGGTACCATATGTTGTTGAAATGGCTGATGGATATCCTCCCATCCCTTGTCCTGGTAAAGTAGGAGTTGCTACGGAAACCACTGGGGTAGCCAATGACTGAGCAGACTGGGAGTTATTTATCCTTTGATTCTTTTAAAGTAAATAAAAAGACATTTATTGATAGCATTTTTTTAAAAGTTGAAAATATTAGATTACAGTATTAGTTTTGCATATAAAGAGATAACTTGGTACAAATCTCATGAAATTAATCATTTAACATGTGTCTCTATGAACTCTGCCAACCCTATCATTTACAATCCTTCAAGAGACCAGCTGTTGCCATAGTAACCCATTACATCAGTATCTCCTAGGCAACTGAACTAGTAACAAGTACCGTGGCTTTATTATGGGTAAAAACAGACTGTTGAAAACTGATGAAATATGTATACTGTACTTCCATTGTTTCAGTTTTTATTCAAATGCAAATTAAAAAAATTAAAATCAACCATGATGGTTTTTATGCTCAGTTCTATATACAGCAGAGCAGATGGGTAGAGGGGTCATGCTATATTCTGGCCAGCAGGTGGTGCTCTGACCACTTTTTTCAGATTCTTCTAAACTTCCCTCAAAACTAGATGGCAAAGCAGCTAACGTGTATATTTAATTCCTTAAGGAGATTAAAGGCTCATATAAATTTAAATATCTTGAGACTTTAGTTTTTAGAAAAATAAGTGTCTTCATGGTGTTAAATAACTAAGAATATTTTTTGTTTGTTACATTTTTACTGTAAGTTCTAAAATAAATCAAAAACAAGGCCTGCACTTACAGAGGTTGAGACAGAAAAATAGATAACCTGACAGTTCACCTGTGAGTGATACTTGAAATTAATGGTATTTAAATGCAACTAATGTTGACACACTATAGCAACTCCCGAAATCTTTCCATCTTAACTAGCACTACCACTCCACCTAAAGTCGCTTGGATTTCTCCTTGCAGGTGCCATTGAAGGGGAGCACTCTCACCACTTACCAAAAGCAGGTCGACATCCTCAGACTGAGAGCATGGGGAAGGAGTTTTATTAATTAGTGTCTGTAAATATTTGTAATTGGGCACAATCTTTTCAACAAAAGGAAAAGCACCTTCTGATAGACACAACAGTTTAAACAGTTTTAAAACCCAGACTCTAGAGATAACTCCTTACGAAGACATTCTTTGTTTCCTTTAATGAGCTGTTTGTCTCAAATGGGAAGACAATCTATCCAGTTTTCAGTACAGGTCAGTGTCTCAACGTTCATTATTTCACCACCACATTTAAAAAGAAAAAAAAAAAAAGACTGTACGTTGAAACCCCACTTGCTGGAGGAGGGGGGAAACTGCACCTGGCTGCCAGGGAGACCTGACCTGGTGCTCACAGACTCCCTGGGAAAGCAGCAGTTTTAAGGGACTTGGAATAAATCTGCTGATAGAGACAGCCTGCCATGCATGGCCCACACTGCTTGGCTTTGGCCCTGTGGGAGGTTTTATTTATTAGACCCAGCCTTTTCCGAAGGGAACGTTGCATATTATGTGATTTTTCTTTTTTGGTTGATATTCAAAATTAATCTGCACAGTGCCATAATAAACTAATCAGCTTGCAGGACTGTTTTACCCTGAAGCTTGCCACAGAGCACAGAAAGAAAAAAAAATGTGTTCGCAGAATGATCTAAATTTGTCTACTGAGTCTTGGTTTTAAAGCATTCTCGCTCTTAAGCAAAGCTAATTTGGAGTATACGGATGTAAGTCTCTTTGTTGCTGAATTTGGCCCCACAATATTATCTTCACCTTAGCCCTGCAGACCCAGGAGAAAGAAAAATGGTAGTGCCCAGGGACATTATTTATATTTCATAGTTATTTACTTATTTATTCTTACAAGTGCCACAACTTTTTTTTTATGTAAAATATAACCTTTGTTCTCAAAATGCCTAGCATTTTAAAACAAGTAGCTTCTAAGAGCTCACTATGCTTGAAGCACATCTATGGAAAGAGGAATTGAGGCAGTTGGTGTACAGGCAAGTGATGTAGTAAACACTGTCACTGCAATATACCTAAGGAAAGAATCGCCAATTAACGGGAGAAAGCTCACTTAGAAATTATGGAAAAGCTGTTTCATTGTCAGCACCTCAAAGACATATTTATTTAGTTCAATACTGTAAAAATCTGTTATGAAATACCTCATCTGTGAGTCTGATTCTACCATTGGTCAAACCGAATGTCCCATAAGCAAAGTATTACGTAATGATTTTTTTTCTAATTATAAGTTGGGAGCCTTAAAAGGACATGTTTTCTTTACCCCAGAACACCAGTCCTATAGTGCAGTTTATTGGATGTTGGTTCTTTTTTTATCCCCCCATGGAAAAGGGAAATGCAAGCCAGTTACTAGAAATAATAGCTAAATCCAAACAGAGCTCCGGCAATAGCACTGACATGTTACTTTTCTGGGAGCATGTAAGTAATTCATAAAGTAAGACAAGTATAAGAACAGCAAAACATAAACAAACATTATCAACATTTATTTAAAATATAATTTTGCATTACCACTGATGGCATCGTATTCTTGCTGCCTGGTGGAATAAGAACTCGGAGATCTGGTTTACGGTTATTCATCCCTAAATTCATGGGAGGAGGAGATTTTGCTTGCATATTCTTGTTCAAGTTACCAGGTGAGACCAGCAGACCTGGTGAGTTTCGGGGATTGCCATACCCGTTCCCTGTTAACACAAAACAATGAAAGCACTCAGGAAAAAAATCTAGACTCAAAAATGTTTCTAGAGAATACAGTACACGAGGTTAAGAATAACAAATCACCAGGGTGAGACTTAACAACATATACTGAAAGTCCACAGGACCACTGACTTCACCTCCACGTGAAGAGCAATCCAATCAGTTAGCTATTGAATATTCCTCTGAAGGAAGCCTAAAAACTCTTACAGCGAAGAGACCTAGTAAATATCAACTTGTCTGGAAAATAGCATATTTTTTTTTGCTATTACAAAAATCTGGGAAGAGAAAAACAATATGAAAAGGAATATATATATATATATATATATATATATACACACATATAAACTAAATCACTATGCTGTACACCAGAAATTAACACAAGGCTGTAAACTGAGTATACTTCAGTTAAAAAATTTTTTTCAATTGGGAAGAAACTGAGACAGTCGCTCAGGGTCTAAGAAAAGCACTGAATTGGTCCCACACTTTAAATGACTGGCTCGGCAGACGCCGGGTGGCGTGACTCACTCTTTCGGTTCAATGGTTTGGGCTTTATTCAGTTTGTCTGTGTGTCCTGAAATGAAGAAAGGGCACACCAGCAAGACTATAAATCCTAGGACATGCAGGAGGAGCAGCAGCCTCTTACACGTTTTGCTGTTCACTTCCCCTTTCCTTTGAGCGGTTTCTCCCTATGGTTTTCTTCCGTCTGGTTTCCTCTCCTCACTAAGTTCAATGCACGAACCTGAAGGCCTGCTTTCTCATTCACGCAGAACTTCAAAAAGCAGGACTCCTTCTCAGGAGCTGAAATGAGGGGATGATGTCCCCACTAAAGTGCCGACTCACGAGGCACCGGGACAGCCATCTAATGAGAGAGAACAGTACCGAAGCGGTTTTCCTCCGGTCTCTGATGTTTAGCCCCCTACTAACAGACAAATGTTATCTGGTGGTTTCTGTGTCTCAATCCAAATATTCTGATCTGTGTGACAGGCGGAGCTGCAGAGGGAGCTGATACAGCCCGAACTGACGCGGACGTCCTCCGCTGGCTTCCTCCACAGTCTCTCCTTGGAGAGTAGGAGAAACCAGCGAGCTGATTCAACAACCCTTGCTGGAAAACTGGCTAGCTGTTTTCTAAAGCTCTCTAAAGGAGACAGTCAAACCTCGTTATCGTCATCATTATCATTACTGTAAAACACAGGTACCTATTAACCTGGGACGAATGATACTGTGTGCTACCTAGAGGGGGTGCAGAGACCAGCCCTGCAGGCCCTTTGTGGCAACCCAGCACAGACATGTGTGAAACGTATAATCCAACACAAGACAGCCCAGGGTGAGGTGCCACAGAGCAATCCAGGTGAAGTGCTACTGGGTTGCCAGGAAGGAAGAGGTAATCCAGACAAGATTCACGGGAAGGGAAAGAACTGACGTGGGTCTTGAAAAAAAGAGAGGAGACAGTAAGATCTCTGGGCATGTGGCTGGGCACTGGGAAAGGGCTGAGAGGTGGCAGTTTACGCAGGACAGTCAGGGGCACTATGAAGATCTTGGGGAGAAGGGAACCCAGGAGAAGAGAGGAGTGTCGGAGACCCTGAAGGAATAGGCAGGTTGTGCTCTGGAGACGACAAGAGGTTATTTCAGGGAATTGCAGGCTTAACCTGTCTTGGGTTTAAATGGTGGACACGCAGCCCCTGAAGGCTGCAGAGCAGAGGTAACACAGGTTCTAAGTGGGCAGACAGATCTACTGGTGTTGGGATGTTCTGGCATTAGGAAAGCCTGGGAGTATGATCCAGCCTGGAAACTTCTGTGATGACAAGCTATGATGAGGAGCTGGGGAGGCAAAGCACAGGCATATTTCAGCAGCTCTTTATGGGAACATCTTTTCAGTTAGAATCTATTGAGGCACTACTCCATAGAACACACTGGTTCCTCACATCCCATCCATTTACCTGTCTCATTTCATGCATGAATAAACAGGATGAAGACATAATAAGTAACGACAATATTAAATCTGTCAATTGGATTATGCGTAAAACTCTCCACTGTGGGGGGAACCCCACAAACTAAAACAAACAACTCTCCCCCCCCAAAATATGGCAAATACAAAGTAGGTACTTAAAAAATGTTGGTTGAATGTGGATGTAAACCACTCTTCTATAATAAAATGTCAAGAAAATTAGCTAAATTCTCTAAAGCCAGCTAAGTATGTCAAAAGCCAAACTTTTTTTTTTCAGTTAATTTGGACAGTTTTCCTGTGGCGAAAGTTATTATATGAAATGAATACATTTACCTTTTTTCACTAGGAGAAACACAAACAATATGTTCCCTTAGAAAAAGGGTTGCTCAAACAGAATGCTCAGAGCAGTTTTATATTTAATGTCTTCCTGAATCACTATTGTGACACTGTTAGGGCTTTCGTTTTAATTAATAGGTTCCATTTGGGTAAAAAGGGAGTGAAAAACCATGGCTAAGTTCGCACCTTACTTTCCTGTCAGCCGGAGTTCAGACCGACAGACACATTGAAGTGTATGTCACTTATCTGTGAAGGCTGCGTGAGAGCTGGTTTAAATAAACAATCAAATGGAAAATTAGCTGGGTAATTTCAAAAGAATGGGGGGGAAGAAAAGTCAGTTAAGCAGTGCAGTGAAGCTTGAACAGATCAGAAGAAACTAAAACCCCGGCTTGGTAGATGCCGATACTGGTTTGCATGGAGGAGTTATTTTGCTAAAAGGAAGTAAAACCGCTTCATGAAATGTGCTGTCCTGTGATATGACCAGCCCTGGGCCAGTGTGCGAAAATGGAAGTGCCCCACTCACGCTGAGAAAAGTGGGTTTTTTTTTCTTTTTTTAAAAAAATATTTTCTACAATCAACTCTGAGAAATTCCAACAAAGCCTACCTCTTTTGGCTCACATTTTAAACAATGAATTGGGGCAACAGCAGGGGGGAAGAAAGCCAACATACATTACAGTTTTTCATCCAATAAATGCCTCAAAACTAAGAAAAAATATTGATTTGAAAAAGCACTCTATTTTCCTCTTGGAATATTTCCTGTTATTTGAAAATTATGCCATTTTAGAAGATCAGTCACATATTTTAAGGTGTTTACATATTGAATGTAAAATATTTTGAACCACGATGACACTTCTTAAGTTCGTATTTTTAGAGCATCAAGTTATTTTTGAGAACAAATAAATTCTGCCTTTTACCGGTGGATTTCTGCTGTTTTTAGCATATTGTGCCAGCTAGCATTTTGGAGCCGTATAATAACCATTTCTGTTTCCAGCCACCAAGTTGTTATTCTTTTGGCATAATATAGATTCAGGAATGCAAGGCTGTGGATCCTAAACCAGTGATATAGAAACCTATCATTTGAAAATCAATGATGAATACATTCGTGTGGTTTACTGCTAAGAAGAGCCTGCATTTAAATGGGCTCGGAAACCGCGGCCTCCTCCTCACTCAGGACGCTGTGGCCTTGCACTGGGGCTGCTGTCCTACCTTAAGATAAATTCACCCTAGAGAACGGTCTCTTTCAAAGTCCAGGGTCGGGAGGTGGGAAACGCCACCCGTCGATAAGTGTCTAAGATAGATTCCACCTTCCGTCATGCCCTGCTTTAAAACTGCCCTCCGCCTGGGACAATGATCGATTTGGATGTGACTGCATGCAGATGCCACAGTCCCCTCACCACTTAAAAGCACAAAAATTATAAAGCATGAGGGAATGGATTTCTTGATTACAGATGGTAAGAAAATGAAGACCAGATCAACTTTGGCGTTCGTGTGTTTTATAGTTTCATTTGATTAAAAATATTGTTTCACATCAAACAATGCAAGCATTCACGGTATAATTCATGTAAAGGATAACAGAATCTACCTCGCGTGGTTACAAGTTTCTAAACACTCGTATTAAAACTCGTGTAAATATACAGAACTTCAAATGTGGTGTTAGGAGAAAAAAATCTTTTTCTCTCCAGTTAACTTGAAAATACTTGCTTTTTTTTTTTTATTGACTCCTATTTTAAGAAGTTGTAAATTCAAAGAACATATTCCTGGCTTAAGACGTTGTGAGGAGGACATTTTGCCTTGTCTCACAGAGCTCAATTGAGCATGTAGCTCTCTTTGAGCCTGAAGTTCTGAAACTTTCTCTTATTTGGATGTTTAGACACTATGAGTCTTTTCACTTCGCTTTTCTTCCTCTGTGGACTTTCAATCATAACTACAAGCATATAAAACAAATAAGCACAAAACAAAGTGGTGCTCATACCAAGGCTAAGCTTTTCATTGGCACAATATTTTTTCAGTCTCCCAAATCATCATCTTTGACGACTCTTGCTCCCTCTTCCAACTCCATTTCCGATTAGTTACCCAGTCTTGTTAATTTTTCTTGAGAAATGCCTGTCTCCATTTCCACTGCTCCCATCCTACTTCAGGCTCTCTGTGCCCTCTAACTAGGTCTTTCTCTAGCCTCTGAGCTGGGTCCCTGGTCTCTAGTTGAAGGGTTCTTCTCCATGCCTTAAGACGGGCTGTAGGAGGGCTGGGAGCAAACTTCTATGCTTATGTCTGATAATAAACCTATTGTGCAACCCAAGGATTTTCTTCAAAAATCTTTCTAAAGTGCTGCATCCCTCATGTTCCTTTTCTACATCACACTTAACACTACAGGGTCAGTGCCCTGGCTTGGGTCTCAGAACTATGCATAGTTTGACCTGCTCTGTCTATGGAACCCAACTTTCAGTGGTCACAGCCAAGCTCACGGTCCTCTGAAGATGCTGGAGCCTTTGCTCTAACAGTTAAATACCTGGCTGTGTTTGATTTCCTGTTTAATTCAAATTCATCTTTCAGGGCCAGCTAAGGCCCTGTGCTCTCATGATCCCTTTTCGACAACCTCAGTCCACTTTGAACTCACTCTCCTCCAAAATCCTGAGCAATCAGAGCGGTGATACCAGGCAGAGCACTAGTTCTCCAAGTAATGCTCACAAAACAGAGACACAGACTATG